GAAAAGGAGTGTTAAATTTTTTCTGAAATTTATTATGACTAAAAGATAATCAAAATAGTGCCTAAGTCTTCATGACTGAAACATGTGATTAGGTTTGAAAGTTACCAAGTCGTTTGTCACGAAAGGTCAACAGGATCAATGAAAAAGAACGATCACTTTATAGTTGAATCGTGTCAAACATACACTTGTACAGACGGATAATGGTAGGGAATAGGACACAAGCATTTTCAAACATTGAACATAACAAGAAAACAAATCAGAGGCTCATTCACCTTTAAAAAAACAGCATAATCATCGTTTGTAAAACTAGAGAACCACATTTTCTTATAGATACTGTGAAAAATAAATTTGCCTTAATTTTTAATTGCGACCAACTTATTTTCAACAGAATTGATCTGTATTGAGACTTATCAGCACAGCAATATCACAAATCCAGGAAATCGGGGATGCTGAAGAAATGCAGAAAGATGCAGAAGATCCTACATCTCCTATAGATACTGTGTCGCCTGAAGAGATGCAGAATATGCCTCGAGATGTGGCACCGTCCATGTGGGTTCTTAGGTAGAAATAAAAATAAAATTTTATCGAGAGATGGCGCAACTTGAAGCATATCTCTGCAGCACATTCGGCATCACTCCAGCGTTGATAAGGGAGAAGATAGAAGCACATAGAAACACACGCGGTTACATCTCACGAGTGTGGGCCAAGGACGAAACGCGAATACACGAAAACATATGCAGCCGCATCACACGAGTTATGGATGCATTTGAGTTTACATATAATGTAATCGTCTTTTAATAGATAGTTTGGTGTCTCCCGCATCTCATTGTACTTCTTCAGCATCACAACTTTCCTGGATATGTAACACCTCTCTTGTTAAGAAGTACTTTGAAATTTCATTGTACATAATGAATTTTCCAAGGCTATTTCTACTACGATAACAGATCTTGAGTAATCTAGTTACGTTGACGATGTTACTCGATTGTTGTCTTCATGCTTGCACTAATATTATGCCAATTTCATTTGAAGTGTCTTCTGATAAAGTTTTACATTATCATCTAAGCAATGTTTATCGAAAATCATAGTTCTACGAGACAGTGACGATCTCTGGCAAGAATCGCGATTTTGAAAGAATTAGCATAGTTTGTAGGAGAATAGAACCATATTAAAGTGCTTTCATAACCAATCAGAACGCTGAAGAATAATTCTCTTACATTGAAATATAACTTTCGATTCTTTCGCTACGAATATCAATTATTGTATACCGAATTCTCATATGTTCTTGATTGAGATACCGTAAGACAGAAAATTTTTAGCAGGAAATACACTGATCTTTCTCAATAATAGATATCTCGTTAGAAAATCTGAATTTTTGTTTTCATTTGTCAATAATTTGCACCTAGTTTCTACACTTGGATCTTTCAATTTCACTTCAAGTCCCACTAAGTAACACTAGTCTATTCACACGTATCCATATGATTGGCTTTCTGACGAAATAACACCAACGTTAAAACAATTTCTTATAGATCCAAATTTATCAGCATTTGCGCAGTTAAAGCAATCCATTAGTGGACTCAATGTATTTGACAACTATGAGCAGACAATTGAGACTCGACATCACCAGCGTTTAGCTACACGTATTTATTTCATACTTTTGATTGTTTGCACATTCATACTACTGTTCTACACGGGACTACATGCACGTTCTGAAAGTCGAACGATTTTGAACCCTTCTCAGTCAATATATGAACAACTTCAGCTTCAATATCAAGACTCTCTTGAATGCCCATGCTCGAAAATTTCAATCAGTCAACAACAATTCATTGTTTCTCTGGAAGCTGCTTTGCATCCTGTGTGTTTAAGTGACTTAGTCAGCGATGGTTGGATCAGTTATTTAACTGGGCCTGTTAGAGTCGGCTGGGTAGAGCTATATGCACATGATTTTCGAAAGCTGGGACCCTTACTTTTCAAGATGATCTCTTCTTTTTGTTCTGAAGCAAATTTAACAATAGAAAATGCCATTCAACAGTTCCGCTCAACTGCATTCATATCTGCTCAAGTATTGCCTCCTAAACTATTTCAAGTGTTGATCGATAATGCAATACAACAATTTCAAGCTGTGACTTCAGCTGCTTTTGTCGGTATTCTAGAGCCTATTCGTGTAGTTGCTCAAGGTAATACGCTTATAACTGTTATGGGAACAAATTGGTCACCAAGAATAACATCTTTTGATGACGATGTTCCTTTTCTATTTGTTCCTGTCGAATATAACGGTGGAAGCTGTTCCTGTGCTACTTCACGATCATGCTTGAAACCAATGGCTTTATACACGAATTCTCACATACTAGTTTATACATTGGACGATATATTTTATGGTTGCACGCTTGTCGACACTATGTTGCAGTCCTCTCTCGCATGCTTTTTTTCTAAATCGTGTCTTACAACATTTCTTCAGGCAATACTTCTTACCAATGATTCCGTTTTTTGGCGTTACATATATCCATTGGCGCCAATAAAAGGCTTCTCAAACAAATCTTATTTTCGAGAAAATGATACCCTCGAAACTATTGCCCATGGACTTTTTATTGACTCTTGGACGAGTGAAATCTCCTATGATAGATATTATAATGCATGCCAGCCTGTGCTATGCAGTTATTCGTTTCGACACCGTTTAGATATCACTTATGTCACTCTTACATTTCTAAGTCTATTTGGTGGAATTTCGACAGCACTTCTGTATGCAGTGCCTCGCATATTATATATTCTTCGCAATTTATATTATTATTTTCGTCAGCGGATTAGAAAAGAAAATGAAAGCTAGACAATGAAACAACACAAAACACAAATATACAAATAACTTAATAACAAAATAATCTAAGTTCTTTTCACTTCGTTCATTAACTTCTATTGCTTCTTTTACAAAATACGATGCATATATTTGGGTGTGGGTGGGTGTGAGTGTGGGTGTGGGGTGTGGATGTGTCTGAGGGAGAGAAGGCTACAAACAACAGCCACACACGCACGCACACCCACACCTACACCCCACACACCCACACATCCACCCACACCCACCCACACCCTCAAAATTTTTACAATAATCATTTTTATTCCAACAATTACAACAAAATACAATCTACACAGAGGGAAAATAAAGAGACAATTCTTGAGGATATGCTATTATCTTTTCAAAGATTAGTCGTTTAATATTAGCACAATTATGTCGTGTTGCATCTCTTGTAAAATTCTCTGTTACAGTTCGCAATTGATCATAAAATACTTCTATTTCAGTCAGATAAGGTGCATGTGTCTTTGTATCAAGTAAAAATTGCTCAATATAATAATTATCCACAAACTTGATGTTAAGTTTAGTAAGATTAGGATATTCAATAATTGAATATAATTGAATATTATCAGCTTTATATCGACCAAAATTCCATAACGGTGACATAACATTCATAATCGACAGATATTTCAGCAATGGAAAATTTTTAGCAATTCGAATGAAGAATCATGTTTGAATGGAATTGCATCAAACACCATCAAATATGTAACATGATTGAATATCATAGTTGGAAACTTATTGTTAATCTGTTCAAGACGATCAAATATAAATGGAAGTGAGAAAACATGACATATCGCTTTAGATTTAGAATAATAATTTACAGTACAAGCCGTATGATGATAACCTATATTTGTAAAACTTTCTTGAATATCATCATCTAATAATCGATGAACTGAATCATTGATCTTGATCTCACTACTAACATAAAAATTGAATGTATTAAGTCGTGGCATATGAATAAGAATTTCCTTATGAAGATGAGTACCATCAACAAATCTATCTTGACGTTTGACACGAATATACAAAATTAATTTATCCAGCTGTGTCATACGACGAAATAAAGGTATCACCCGATTATCATATGCATCGGTTTCAATATAACATATTAATGAGAAGTATTTCAGATGAAGTAGTTCATCCTAGAATGGGTTTAGGACAGTTGCTCGACGGACAGATGCGCGCGGACAGTTGCTCGCCGGACAGTTGCTCGATAGGATTTGCTCGATCGCTTTTATATAAGTATGATGATTGAATACGACTAAACATTACAGAGATAATGACCGTCAGTGTGCTCTACATATAGACTAATCAGTTCAGTCAATTTTGTCTTGAATTATTATACTGAAAATTAAGCGATCATGTCATTCGCGAGCAAGTGTCCTATCGAGCAACTGTCCTAGCGAGCAACCGTCCGTCGAGCAACTGTCCGCACGCAACTGTCCGTCGACCAACTGTCTGTCGAGCAACTGTCCGGATCCCCCTAGAATATATAAATACTTTCATATACATATCTATTAAATAAATTATCAAAAAAAAATTGACATGAACTATCGGTAAAGAAATATTATTTCTTTTTTAATTATTTCAATTTTTGTTTTGTTTTTTTCTTCATTTAATGTGTAAGACATGTTTTCTAGTTATGACCAAAAAAAACATAGAAATAATAATAGAAGATCAGAGACAAGTCAAACATTGTAGAAAAAGATCATCATTAATATAATCTATTACAAAAATTATTTATGTAGTACTTTAATCAATTCAATCTTTATCAATTTAAGTAATTATTAGAAGTAAATTCATTCATTCTATTATTTATTCATTTATTATTAATTAAATCGAAAATTAAATATTAAAAAAAAAATATCAGATAGACACTGTCTTCTATTTTATTATATCTGCTAAACAAATACTAATTGTCAACATTCAATTAATTATATTCGATTCGATAGAACTTGTTTATTAAACAATCTAGGATGACATTCTCTATTCATTTGTACAGAAAACAAACCATTTATCAAATGATTAATTAGTTCAACTTTATCACAGATAAATAGTCGCTTAAGTGATAGAATTCTAAAATAAACTATAAATTTACCGTATTATGGACAATCGATGAATCATTAATGATATAACCAATTCGAACAATGAATGTAGTCAATTGTTTGAGACGACCATCAAGTAAATAAAGACAATCATCAAAACTACATACATCGATACATAATTTTTTAATAATCGAAGAGGAAAAAGCAGTTGATGACAAATCACATATTGACAAAGATGGATTATCAATAATCGATTATCCAGTAATACTCAAATTGTTTAGATTTTCAAATATAGCCAAGATAGGTGTATACACATTTGTAGTATAATCCTTCAACGATATTTCACTATTCTTCTCATCGTTATTTTCAAGAATAAGTTCTTTTATTTGATGTTTGAACATATCTCGAAAGATTGACTCATCTAAATAAAAATACAATCAAATAACAGAGTCATATTGCTTTATTTTCGATTTTACAATATGTTGATCTTTTCGTTGATGATTTATATATATTTAGTACTTACGTGTAAAATAATGTAAAGTGATCCATTGCCCGAAATTAAATAATTTAAGAGAAATCAAATTTGGATAGTTACCAGCAAGAAGAATACGTTCCATAGATTTAGAGTCGAGAGTAAGATGTTTAACATTATGATTAATTCTTGGTAATATATCAATACAAAAACGATCAAGTATTGGATCATCTAGTGAAGAAATAGCATTGTCAGTTAATGATCTTCTGACTAAATTGAGAGTGTTAGTAAAAATATTATCTTGTAATAGAATGTCAAATTGTTCATTGAAAACACACATGCATGAATATAGAACATTGATATTATCAAGTTTTTTCAAAATATTCAAGTGTATTTCACTTGGCAAATCAAGAAAATGAACGTTAGATTGATTCATGTTTGATTCAAACTGACACTTTTTCAAGACGGAAACATATATATATATATATTATTTGTGATATTTGCTGCCGTCAGCAAAGAATAGAATAAATGAAGTTTTCGTGAAAAAAAGGTAACCTGTATATATAGTCTGATTTGTGGGTGTGTGGGTGTGGGTGTGGGTGTGGGGTGCGCGTGTGGGTGTGGGTGGAGTGTGGGTGTGGGAATGGGGTGAGGGTGGGGGGGGGGGGGTGTGGGGGGGGGGGGGGGGGTGTGGG